GCGCGGGATCGGGCAGTGTTTCGTTCTGCTGTGCATGGGGTCGCTATGAGTCGGAAACGACTCGACGGCACTTAACAACAACAACAACATGTATCTGATAAAGAGTTTAATACCGAGAATATATATAAAGAAATACTACAAGTCAACAACAAAAAGGCAAACAACCAAATTTTAAAAAGAACAAAGGACTTAGACGTTTATCCAAGTAAGATATACAAATGCCCTCCCCTCACAAATACATGAAAAGATGCTCAATGTTATTAGTCACTATGGAGATGCAAATCAAAACCAAAATGAGGTATCACTTCACTCTGACAAAGATGGCTATCCATCATACATCTGTCAGTTGGTTATACTCCGGTGGCTTGAGTGTTGCTATAATGCTAGAAGGTAGGCCACCAGTATTGCAAATACCAGCAAGGTCACCTAGGAAACAAGTTTCAGCAGAGCTTCCAGACTAAGACAGACTAGGAAGAAGGGCTTGGAAATGTACTTCAGAAAATTAACCAATGAAAACCCTATCTATCGCAACAGAATATTATCCAATATAGTGCTGAAAAATGAGTTCTATAGGTTGGATTGTTGTTGTTGTTTGCCATCGAGTCGGCCCCGACTCATAGCGACCCCTCTTTGGGTTTCCGAGGCAGTATCACTACGGAAGTAGGAATGCCCAACCTTCCTTCCGAGGAGTGGCTGGTGGGTTTGAACCGCCAGCCTTCTGGTTAGCAGTCAAGTGCCTTAGCCACTACGCTACCAGAGCTCCTTCTATAGGTTGGAAGACACTCAAAAACACAGCAATCATAGCAGTGGACTTGAGTATACCAGCAATCATGAAGCACAGGACCAGGCAACATTTTTTCTGTTGTACATGGGGTCACCATGAGTTGAAGCCAAGTCCATGGCAATTAACAACAAAAAGAAGAAGATGACTATGATTGAAACACTAAAAACAATAGGTTTGGTGAGGACGTGAAGTTATTGGAACCCTCATCCACTGCTGGTAAGAATCCAAAATGGTACAGCTGTAGCACCAGCTTAGCAATTCCTCAAAAAGTTAAACAGAATTACCATATGACCCAGTAATCCCACTCCTAGGTAAATGCCCAAAATAACTGAAAGCAGGGATTCAATCAGATCCTTCTACATTTATATTCATTGCAGTCTTACTTGCAATAGCCAAAAGGAATAAACAACCCAAGAGTTCATTAACATAGGAATGGATAAACAAAATGCTTACAATGGAGAGTATTCCATAATTAAGAGAAACAAAGTTCTGATACATAGTACAACACAGAATAACCTTTGAAAACATTATGCTAAGTGAAATAAATCAGAAACCAAGGGCAAATATTACATCACCCCACTTATATGAAATGTCTAGAATAGGCAAATGCAGAGACAAAAGTTTGTTAATGGTTACCAAGGACCAAGAACTGAGGAAGAAGGAAAAGAGCAGTATTGCTTAAGGGAAGTGAGTTTTTGTTTCAGGTGCTATAAAACTTTTGGAAATGGATGGTGGTGACGGTTTGTGGTGGTTATGTTTGTGTGTCAACTTGGCTGGGTCTGGTTGAGTGGGTGGGCAGCTGGTGGTAATTATTCCCCATGATGAGACTGGCAATCAACTCCATGATGGGATTGACCACAAGCAGCTGAGTAGCTGCTTTGGATATGTGGTCTGCTTCCTGTATATAACAAGCAGCATTGGGAATAGTCTCTAGCTTATGGCATGCTTGGACCCTGCATGTAGCCCTGTCGTTGTTCAGCAGCCTGCCATGTTCTGCCGACTTTGGGACTTAAAATGGATTTGAATTAATGACCTGCTGTGTGGTTTGGTAACATCAGGACTGTGCCTTTTTACTTATCAACCTTGGGCTTGGCAGCCTCAGCATCCAGCAGCTGTCTGAGTGAAGAAAAGCCTCTAGCTTCAGTGGGCCGGGAGATCAAGGCAGAGCTGAAGCCCAAGGCTGAGGGGCTTTCACCCAGCCCCTAGAGCCTGGCACTTTGACCTTGGACTTCAAACCTCCAAATTGTGAGAATAAACTCCTGTTTATTAAGGCCATCCCGATGTGGTATAGTCTTGTCAGACCAGTACTAGGTAACAAGAACACGGTTGTACAACACAGTGAAGTAATTAATGTCACTCAACTATACACTTAAAAAGTCAAAATGGCAAATGTTTTGTTATATATACTTTACTATAATAAAATACAAAAGGAAAAAATAACAGAAAACATGTAATATTAAAAATTAATATTTCTTTAGGAATTTTTATAATTGACCCTTCTAGTACCACAATTAAACAACTGAGAAGTATATGACTAAAACATCCCCCTAAAAAAACCCTCTGCCATCAATTCCGACCCATAGCAACCCCTGAAGACAGGGAAGGATCGGAGTGATCCTGTGTACTCCTGTGGAGTACAGGGTTTCCAAGGACATAAATCTGTGGGAAGCAGATTGCCTCATCCGTCTCCCATGGAGCAGCTACTGGGTATTTACCACTGATCTTCTGGTTAGTAGCCAAATGTTGTCACCACTACACCTAAATTTACTTGCATAAAAAGTCTTAAGATTTTTCAAAACTATAATAATAAATAATTTATTTATTAATAATAAAATTATTAATAAATAAATTACCATTACTTCAAAATATAACAAAATCAAACAAAGTGATTCCTATAATAATGCTGTCATTATTTTCAACACTGAACATTAACATAATCTTTACAACCAGGAATGCTGAACACAGATTGAGAGTGAGGTGGTATTAATGTATATTTGCCAATACAGATAAGCATACTAATGGTATAATGGTTTTGTTTTGCAAAAACTGATAAGTCACAAAACTAGGGGAAAATACAGTATCTAAAATTTGTTTTAAAACACTATGTTGTTGTTGTTGTTTTTATGCGCCATCTAGTCGGACCCAACTCATAGCAACCCTTCCTTGGGTTGCCGACACGGTATCACTACAGAAGTAGATTGCCCAACCTTCCTTCCAAGGAGTCTCTGTCAGGTTTGAACCACCAGCCTCTGGTTAGCAGTCAAGTGCCTTAGGCACTATGTTACCAGAGCTCCCTTGAAATACTATAGGGGGTAAAAATGGGATATGTGCAAAAGATGAAGGACAAAAACAGTATTAATGATTGGATCTGGATGACAGGTCCATTAGGGCTTTCTCCAATGTTCTATCTAGTTTACACATATTTTAAAAGTTCAAAGTATTTTTCAATTAAAACCATATGCTAATAGTGAAGAAAAAAAGTAATCTTAATTTCACAATGCATTTCTCTAGAAGAGAAAAACTAAGCAGTTTTATTCAACAAACTTGTCAAAATTATAAATTAGACTCTGGACTCCAATGTATGAGATAATGTTAAACTTCAATAATCAAAACACCACAACTGAACACTTAGTAATAGCAAAAATATTTCTATAATTAACTACAAAAATAAAAATTAACCCTGCTCTCCTTTCTGCTTCAACCATAATATTCTATTCTGTCCAGAGCTTTATCAACTGTACAAAATGTTCCAAAGTTCAGAGATCAAAGTGTGTCTTCCCCTCAAAGGCATCCTGCTGCTGTGTAACCAACAGCATCAGCCTTCTGTAGAGAACACCCTTCAAACACTGCATGCACTAAAGACCAAAGACCCAGCAAAAGTAATAAAGCAGTTACCAGGGAGGAATTCTGCCAGCTGAGAGCTTGCCCTTCTGTCCTTCACACAAAAGTCTGTTTGCAACTGAGACTGGGTTCTTGATTCCTAGAAAATATAACAGAAATAAAGTCAGAAAAACACTTTCATGCTTCCCACTCCATTTTGGTACTGTTTCAATAAATTGAATTTAAAATATCTTAGAAAATTCGTCTTTTTCAAAACATCAAATACACTAACGATATCTCTTTATTATCATGAATAGTAAGATTCAAATCAACAAATACATGAATGACTAATAGATGCAATAAAGAACAAATATAAAATACATATATTCTCTTGTTTTCTCATGTGATTGCAACAAAAACTGAATTTTACATATTTAATGTGTAGTTCCTGCGTGGTATAGTACAAATGGTTAACAAGCCCGACTGCTAACCACAAGTCCACACGTTTGAGTCCACCCAGAGGTGTCTCAGAAGAAAGTTCAAGCAACCTACTTCTGAAATCAGTCACTGAAACCTCTGTGGAGAACAGTTCTATTCTGATATGTCTGGGATCACCATGAGTCAGATTCAACTAAATAGTAACTAGTTACTGGCTTACATATTTAAAGTAGCTTCCTTTTTTTTTAATAGATTTCAAAATGGAAGAGAAAAAATGAACTGAAAATATGGCACTCTCCTACTGTCAAAATTAAATAAATGCCCCAGTCATTTACTTGACCACAAAATCATTTCCCACAAAACATGTTAGAGAGAAAAATGATTGGGGAAATAGGCCAAAAATGGTGCTGCAAATTGGGATATAATTGAGTATGTACAAGACTTTAACCTAAAATATGGTTCATGGCACATCTTCAGATTGTGTCCAACAGATAAAACAATGGTAAGAAGTGAAATGAGGGTATATCTTGGGGAAAAAAAATGATAAACAGCAAGTATTAGCATGAGAAACATCATAAAGATGACAATGACAACAAAAAAGGATGATGAAGATTATAGAAACCAGTGACAGAAACTAAGTACCTAATATGTATGGGGGCCACTGCCACACCCTTCTCTCACTGCCTTCAAGTTGGCTCTGACTCATAGTGATCCTTCTTTGGGTTTCCAAAGCGGTATCACCATGGAAGTAGATTGCCCAACCTTCCTTCTGTGGAGTGGCTGGTGTTAATTGTTCCCTCGATTCTATCATATACTCTTATGGATTCTACTTGATTAATAAGGAAATAGATGCACAGAGAACTTAAGCCACCCATCCAAGATCCAAGAACTAAGATTTTAACAGAAATAACTAATGTCAAAGACAACACCCTTAACCACCAACCTACGAATACCTCTCAGACTATTAATACAGAAAAATATCAACAATGGGATAAAAAAGAGACTACAGAAACTCAAACTAACAGAATGTCTCAAAACAAATTTTAGAAATTTAGTGAAATACTAAAAACTATGTCAAAAAAAAAAAAAAAGTATGAAATACCAAAGGAAGGAAAAGGACACATCTCTGTGCTAGTTCTTGAGAATTTATTTCTGGGTATGATGATTCTATACTGTAAAGGAAGCTTTAACTGCCAAATTAATTTATCAATTTAAATGTCTACACTATCAACTGAAAGTTCAAAAAGATTTCTATGAAATATGATAAGCTGATTCTTAAATTCATCCAGAAGACAAAGCTTTGAAAGAAAATGATGAAGAGTTACTTACCCTAAATTTCATATTAAAGCTATTCTAATTAAAAGAGTGTTGTGGTATAGTAAATGATACGGTATGGCTTTTCTAGCCATAGTCTCTGTAATTCCCACTTTGCCATAAGCAACTGAGTAGCTGATTGTTAAAGTTATCCACCTGGTATATAGCATGAAGCAATCTTCCGGGAAGTTCACTCTCTCCCAGGTGTGTAGAATTCTGATGTTCAGATTGGTTGTTTTTAGCCACTCTGCCAGACTCAAAAGGAGCCCTCCTACAGACAGAAGGAGAGTCTGACAGCCGGCTGAGAGAGATGCACTGCTGAGAGAAACATGCTGCTGAGAGATATGAGGGAGACACACTGCTGAGACATGAGAAACATGCACTGCTGAGAGACAGACATGCTACTCAGAGAGATTGAGAGAGACAGGCTATTGAGAGAGATGGACAGTTGAGAGAGACTGAGCATGTTCCTGAACTTGAATTGTAGCCTGTTGCTTTCCTAATAAACCCCATAATCTGTGAGTTCTGTGTGGCCACTGAAGCAAATTACCGAACCCAGCAGAGAGGTGGTGGGTGCTGCAGGAGGAACAGTTGATGACAAGGTTAGTAAGAGAACTGGAAGGTGGCGAAATGTCTAGCCTCATTAAAACAGACCTTGGGCTGCTGATGGTGATTCTGTCTTCCTCTTATGTAGTTAGAGGAGGTCAGAAGACGTTGCCTCCCTGCCCCTTTAGCAAGTGTGGTACAAAATAGGCAAAGATATCAACAGAACAGAAGCAAGGTAAAGTTCAGAAACAGACGCATCAATTTAAATATTTAATATATGATAATGATAGCATTTCAAATCAGTGGGAAAAGGCTAGATTATTTATGAAAGGCAAGAAGAACACAGAGTGAAACGCATGGGAATCAGACTACTTCATAATTGTACCAATTATCATTTTACTGCTCCTCATTTAAAAATTTACCCTTCATTGCCTGATCTGTGAAAATGGATATGGGTTCTTTAATGTTTCCTCTGCAACTTGCACTCTATTCAGCGATGTTAGTAGAGAGCACTGGAGGCATATTGCAGGAGGAAAGGGTAGCTTGTTCACCATGCTCCTAGAGAGCACAGTTTTCTTTCCATTATTTGGAGCACATGATATTCTCCAGTGCTAAGTGCTTCTAGGGTGAAACTCTCTCTAGTGCTCATCCATTTCATGATTCTCCAGTTTTTGATTCAAGTAGCAACAGTATAACTGAGAGCCCAAAACAGCAAACTGACAACCCAGTTCACTGCTCCACATACCCCTTCCTCAGTGCCACACATACAAATAGCAAGTGTCCCATGAAGCTGGCCATCTGGTGAGCCAAAAACCCAATGCTTACGCTGCATTCTGGAAGTTTAATTTTGGATCTCTGTGTGCCCATCTGCCAGCTGAGCTTGCCTGTCCCCAGAGTATTTATACAGTAACTATGGACAAGCTCTTGCCTGAGTAACCCAACAACTTTTCAACTATACCGTGGGCTGCAACTTCACCTTCTTTGATGAAGTCTGAACTCCTTCCAAGCTTATCCCTCCTTAAGTAATCTCCCTTTGCCCTTTAGTGTTTTCTTTCCATCTGTACACAGTTACTCTCCTATCATTGCTTAATAATTCTTTATATTAAACTTCCCTTATTTAAAGTAATGTGTGTTTCTCTCTTCTAATTGGACCCAGACTGATAACAGTAACCTTGGACAAATTAGTACATTTCCTTTGTGTTTCTATTTCCTCATCTGTAAAACAGGAATAAAGGTAATAACCTCATCAAGTTCTTGTGAGGGCTAAATAATTTAAGCTATGTAATCCACAAGATAACAATGCCCAGCATGTATTAGAAACTTAATAGACAATAGTTACTATTTTTGTTATTGTTAGCCAACGAATTGCATAGGTAGAATTGGTTAGTCATTTCAGAACAAAATAAACAATGGATTGAGAGGTAAATGTGGTAGTTAAGGTTGTATGCCAACTTGGCTGGGCCTGGTTGAATGGCTGGGGCAGCTGGTGGTTGTTATTCCCCATGATGAGACTGGCAATCAACTCCATAGTGGTAATCGACCACAAGCAGCTAAGTACCTGCTTTAGAGATGCGGTCTGCTTTCCATATATAAGCAGCAGCTTTGGGTATGGTCTCTAGCTTCTGGCATGCTTGAACTCTATATGTAGCTGAGTCATTGTTCAGCAGCCTGGAATGCTCTGTTGATCTTGGGACTTTTAATGGACTTGAATTAATGGCCTGCCATGTGGTTTGATAATATTGGGACTGTGCCTTGCAACTTATCAACCTTGGGCTTGTCTGCCTCAGCAGCCAATAGCTGAGTGAACAAAAGCTTCTAGCTTCAGTGGGCCGGGAGCTGAAGACAGAGCCGAAGCCCAAGGTTCACAGGCTTTCACCCAGTCCCTAGAGCCTGGCACTTTGAATTCGGACTTAATGCCTCCGAACTGTAAGAGAATAAACTCCTGTTTCTTCCAGCCAACCCATCTGTGGTATATTCATGTTAGAGTGGCACTAGGTAACTACAACAATGCTAAATAAAATATGCAACTATTAGAAGAAAATACAGGTCCACTCAATGAGGAAAGAACATTCTCTTCAAAAATAGCACTGAAACAATTGGATCACCAAATGCAAAAGAATGAAATTGGACTTATACTTAATACCATATGCAAAACTTAACTCAAAATGTATCAATGAACTAAATTTAAGAACTAAAACTGTAAAATTCCTAGGAAAAAAAAAAAAAGGGTAAAGATATTACCCCAAAATGAATTCTTAGATATAACACCAAAAGCACAGCAACAAAAAAATAAATTGGACTTCATCAAAATTAAAAACTTTTGTGCATCAAAGAACTTCATAAACAATGTGAAGAAATGGCATACAGATTAGGAGAAAACAGTTGGTAACTTGTTGTTGCTATTATGTGACATGGAGTCAGACCTGACTCAGAATGACTCCTCCTTGGGTTTCTGAGGCAGCATCACCACGGAAGTAGATTGCCCAACCTTCCTTCCCAGGAGTGGCTGGTGGGTTTGAACCACCAGCCTTCTGGTTAGCAGTCAAGTGCCTTAGGCACTATACATCTGATAAACATTGAATACCCAGAATATACAAAGAATTCCTGTAATTCGATAGCAAAAAGGCAAGCAATGGGCAAAGAACTTGAATAGATATTTCTCCAAAGAAGATATACAATGGCCACTAAGTACATGAAAAGAGACTCAACTTTATTTGTGTTGTTCTTGTTGTTATGTGCTGTGGGAAATGCAAATCAAAATCACAATGAGAAACCAATTTACACTCACTAGGATAGCTATTAGGAGCTCTGGTAGCATAGTGGCTAAAGCACTTGACTGCTAACCAGAAGGCTGGCGGTTCA